TTAACAGTGGTTAGAGCACTCACTTTGCAAGCGAGAGACCGGAGTTCAATTCCAGGCAGGTCAGGGCGAAACCTTGGGCAAGTTTCCTTACTCCACACGCCTAATAATAATCCCTCCAAAACCAAAAACAATAATAAATTGGTCATTTTCAATCCACGACTGTTTGTGGGACATTGCTGTGCGCAATTGGCTGCCGCGTTCGCCCACAAATATACAGTCAATTCACTTTACAGTGTGTTCTGTGAAGCGCTTTGGGACGTTCTCCCGACGTGAAAACGCTATATCAAATGCAAAGATTATTATTATTATTAAACTCACATTTATTGACAGACTCTTGTGTGTTGTGGTGCTGTTCAGAATCATTCACTGCACTGAGGAGAGAGTGGTAGGGCCGACACCATCTATTATTCTTTAACCAGTGGAGTCCTGCACTGGCCAGGACTTCAGATACAATTTAGCAGTCATATAACAGAATAAAATTGCTCAATATGTTCCCCTATTTGGGAGAGGGAAAACTTATCAATCTTCATAAGGGCAGTGACTGTTACATCTCAGCAGATGTTTTGGAGGGAGCCCGTCTAGTAACTCAGGTAAGTAAGAGAGCAGCTTTAAACAAAATGGATTTACACTGGATATGTCGGGCCAGGAGCCTTTCCTGACTGCATTATCTTCATGAGCAGAGTGTTTTTGTCCTTTGTCTGGTACCCCAGGGTCCGCTTGCCTTAACCAACTAAAGGGCTCAGGGGACAATAGGGTCTAATTTAAATAGCTGGAGTCTACCAGAAGAACATTGTGCATACTCTGAAGTATGCAAAGGTGTCATTGAAACTCAGTGGCAGAATCGCTCCCCAAAATGGCTTGGGATTGTCAAGTAAAATATGGGGGGGGGGGGGCGATTTGTGCGTGGGGGGTGGGACAATTTGTGAGGGAGTGGCATTTCATGGGGAGCAGCAATTCATGAGGGGGGATGATGATTTGTGGGGGCATCAAAAAGCATAAACCATCCGTGTGTTTAAAAACTTTGTCGGGTTAAAATGGAACTTCTGAACTAGACTGCACAGGGTGGTGAGCATTGGGAACCATGCATGGGGGAGGGTACTCAGGGAAATTTCCAGATTTCCCTTATACCCAATCCGCTCCTGCTCATTAACAGATTATTTTGCAGATCATTGGAAGCACTGCCTGACATTATAGTTACCGCTGGAGGGTGGCAGCAGCTCTCTATTTTATCGCTGAGCTTGGAGTTGGACTTTGTGAAGTGAAGCTTCTTCTCTACTTTGAATGACAGCACACGGGTAAGCTTCCTGCAAGCTTGGATCAACTCAGGCTCCAATTCTGAAGAGCGCTGCTAATTAAATTTGAACTCCAGGCCAGGAATAGTCTGACAAAACCTCAGTTGCCTTGACATTGTTTGATTTTATTAAATGTGCTTCACACTTGGAGGACTGTTCAACAACAACAAATTACATTTGAATAGTGCCTTTCACATCTAGAGGACATACTCAAGGATTTTGAACCAAGCTGGGGTTGGGATCAGGAGGACAGGAAGGGTAGGTGTTGGAGGGTGGCTGAAGGCGCAGTCAAAAAGGTCAACAGAGAAAAATTAGCTATAATTTATTATACAAAGTATTGTGTATATTACAATGAACGTGGCACGATGGAGAGATAATGTACTACATACAGCTAAGATTTTTATGGGTCAAATCAAACTGCTTCAATCACTACTCATCTATGATTAGAAGGAAAATGTACACTCAACAGTTTATAGTGTTGACAGTGGTCAACAGTGGACCACTCCATTCTCCTCCAATGCCTCTCCTCTCACCTGAACCTTCGAGATTCTGTCTTTGAATGGTTCAGTTCTTATCTCTCACACCTTCTCCAATTCATCTACGCCAAGAGTTTCTCTTCCAGCCCCCACACAATCTTGTGTGGTGTTCCTCGGGGCTCCGTCCTCAGTCCCCTCCTCTTCAACCTCTACATGCTCCCACTTGGTGATGTCATCCGCAGACATGGGGTCAACTTCCACACACACTATTCTCTCTGACTCAATTCCAAGACAACTGACGTCTTGTCAGACTGTCTGTCTCCTGATTGGCTCGCGCCAGGGCCTCTGCACCTCAGGCACTGACAGCATCAACATCCATGGATGCACACTCCACCTCACCAAGCCAGTCAGGAACCTTGGCATCTTGCTCAACCCTCAATTGCCCTTTCTCCCCCATATCCATGCCATAGCCTGCTCTGCCTTCCCCCACCTCCACAACATTGCCCGACTCCACCAGTCCCTCACCCCTCAGGCCAATGAAACCCTCATACACTCATTCGTCACCTCAAGGTTTGACTACGGAAACCTTCTCCTTGTCAGCCTCCCTAACTCTTCCCTCCACAAGCTGCAGATCATCCAGAACTCTGTAGCTCATGTCCCCTCCCACACCAGGCTCCGTGATCCCATCACACCAGGGATGTTCTTTTAAGGATAGGAAAACTGATGGATGTTTTTAAAGGGGTGGGAATGGTGCCAGTGGACAGGGAGAGGTTTATGATGTCTGTGAGTAGAGAGGCAAGGAGGTGGAGCTGGGAGATAAGGAGAAGGGTAGGGATGGGGTCGAGGGAGCAGGTGGTCGGTTTCATGCAGGTATAGTGGTGTTGAAAGAGGAGTAGGAGACAGGTTCGTAGATAAGCAGGGAAGGATGGGTAGGGGCCGGAGTCTGAGGATGAGATGGGGAGGGGGTAGTAGACACAAGGGTAATAGATGGCAAATGAGGGGATCCCCTCGACTTTTGTTTCGAAGAAGTCCAGCATCGCCTTGCAATTGGAGAGTGTGAGCGAGGCGTGAGAGGGTGGACGGAGGAGCCAGTTAGTGATGGAGAAGAGGAACCTGGGGTTGTCTTTGGCCTCCAAGATTGTCTTGGAGTAGAACGACGATTTAGGGGAGGCGCGGGAGGAGCGGTAAGATTTGATAAGGTCCAGCCAGATTTGACTGTTAAATTGGATTTGAGCCAGGTGTGTTCAGCGGCACACACCTGTGCCTTAAGGGAGCGGAGGTGGCTGGTGTTCCAGGGTGACTTTCGTGAGTAGGAGACGGTTCAGGAAGTGAGTGGAGCAAGGGCAACAAGAGTGGTGAAGAGGGAGCTGAGAAGAGTGACTGACGATGATAGGTCATTGTGGGTGGACACCCAGAGGGGGCGGAGTTCAGATGACTCCAAGGCAGCGGAGAGGCGGGGGGAGATTTCTTTTGCAGGGCAGTATGAGATGGAGGTGGGTTGGGTTATGGTAGGGAGAGGGATTGTGGAGTTATGGGAGATGAAGCGTTGGTCCGAGATCACTTTGTCGATGATGGTGAGGCCCCGAGTGATCACCAGGTCGAGGGGGTGACCGCGGACGTGGATGGCGGAGTGGATATGGAGGGAGAGATTGAGGGAGAAGATAAGGGAGGAGAAGTCAGCAGAGGTAGAGCAGGAGGGGGTGAAGTGAAAGTTGAAATCGCCTCAGATGAGAAGATGTTCAGAGCAAAGGGAGAGGGAAGAGGGTAGAGATGTCAGGGATGGAGATGTCAGGGTTGAAGGTGGGGGATGGCTTGGGGGAAGTGGTAGATGAGAAGAATTTTGAGGGAAAGGTTGGAGGGGCGATAAAGGGTAAGGTGCTCAAAGGAGGGGAAGATTCCAGAGGAGTAAGGGGATAGGCCGAGCGGGGACCGGGAGACGAGAGCAACCCTGCCACCACGGCGGTCAGGTGGAGGGGTGTGAAGCAGGTGTAGCCGGGTGGTGTGGCCTCAGTCAAGGGGGAAGGTGTGGTGAGGTTTGGGTGAGGTGAGGTTTGGGTGAGGCTCACGTCAGCGCCTCCGCACCTCAGGCGCTGACAGCATCAGCATCCAAGGCTGCACTCTCCACCTCTCAAAGCCAGTCAGGTACCTCGGGGTTCTCTTCGACCCTGAGCTGTCCTTTCTCCCTCATATCCGCACCACAACTGGCACCGCCTTCCATCACCTCCGGAACATGGCCAGACTACGGCACTACCTCACCCCTCACGCTGCTGAAACTCTGGTCCACGCCTTTATCACCTCAAGGCTGGACTATGGAACTCTCTCCTCGTCGGCCTTCCCGCCACCTCCCTCCACAAACTGCAGGTCATTCAGAACTCTGCAGCTCGTGTACTGTCCCGCACCAGGCTTCGCGATCACATCACTCCCACCCTCGCTCGCCTCCACTGGCTCCCCATCCCCCAGAGGATCCAATTCAAGATCCTCATCCTCGCCTACAAGGCCATTCACGGTCTTGCTCCCTCTTACCTCTCCAACCTACTATCCCCCTACTTACCTGCCCGTACCCTCCGTTCCTCCGGCTACGGTCTGCTCCACATCCCCCGCCCCAACCGCCCTACCATCGGTGGTCGGGCCTTCAGCCTCTCAGCCCCGAGGCTCTGGAACTCTATCCCCCAGTGCCTTTGCCGCCTCCTCCCTTTCCTCCTTCAAGGCCGGTCTCAAGACCTTTCTCTTTGACCGAGCCTTCAGCTCCCCTCTCGACTCTCTACCCCCTCCTCGCTCCCTCCGTCCTCCCGATGTGAAAGACGCTCTATAAATGCAATCTTGTTGTTGTTGTTGTTGTTGAGGTGTAATGGGAGGGATTGCTCGAAAACGCGACCTGCTTAAAAGTCGATAATAATAATAATAATAATAATAATAATAATAAAAATCCTTGCACTTGAAAGGCGTTATATCGCAGGTCAGGATGATTATCAGTTCTGAAACGCAGAGGCGCATTTACTCCCGGGCATCGATGCCACTTATCAGCTCAGAAGATCCACCACAACTCGCGTTTGATAATGATAACAACAGCAATAATAATCCTTGCGTTCGATGCAGCGCCGTACCACGCCCTCGAGACGTCTCAAGGCGCCTCACGGAATATAGTGTCAAGTGTAGTGACTGTGTGTGTGTGTGTGGGGGGGGGGAGGTGCACAGGGACACCTGAGCCCATGTGCCCGGCAGCTCGCGGTGGGGGGGCGGGACTGCGCAGGCGTGTCGGCTCCGGGGGCGGAAATGGCTGACGGTCTCTGGCGGTACCGGGAGGAGCCCGGTTTGCAGGTACAGCCCCTGCGGTCTTGCTCTCCCCCCCCCGGGCACGGCACCACACACCCCCCCCCCCACCCACTGCCCCTCTTCTCCTGCCGGTGCCTGTCCCGCCCTGTGGCCGCTCAGCCACTCACTGCGCGGCCCCCGCCCCCGCCGCTCATTGGCCAGAAACTGTCAACAGCCGCAGCCACAGCGGTGCCCACAGCAACGGCCACTGAGCTCTCCCCCCCCCCCCCCCCCGGCAACACCCCCCCCCCCGGCAATACCCCCCCCCCCGGCAATACCCCCCCGGCAATACCCCCCCCCCGGCAATACCCCCCCCCCCCGGCAATACCCCCCCCCGGCAATACCCCCCCCCCGGCAATACCCCCCCCCCCGGCAATACCCCCCCCCGGCAATACCCCCCCCCGGCAACACCCCCCCCCCCCGGCAACACCCCCCCCGGCAATACCCCCCCCCGGCAACCCCCCCCCCCCCGGCAATACCCCCCCCCGGCAATACCCCCCCCGGCAATACCCCCCCCCGGCAACACCCCCCGGCAATACCCCCCCCCGGCAATACCCCCCCGGCAATACCCCCCCCCGGCAATACCCCCCCGGCAATACCCCCCCCGGCAATACCCCCCCCCGGCAATACCCCCCCGGCAATACCCCCCCCGGCAATACCCCCCCCGCAACCCCCCCCCCCGGCAACACCCCCCCCGGCAATACCCCCCCCCCCGGCAATACCCCCCCCCGGCAATACCCCCCCCCCGGCAATACCCCCCCCCCCGGCAATACCCCCCCCCCGGCAACACCCCCCCACCCCCCCCGGCAATACCCCCCAATACCCCCCACACAATAACCACCCCTTCCCCGACAAAAAGCCCCCCCGACAAAAACTCTACAAACTACTCCCTGACTATAATCCCCCCGATAATTACCCCCGACAATAACCCGCCCCCCACAATAACCCCCTCCCCCACTGACAATAAACACCCCCACAATAATCCCCCCTACACCCCAACAGTAACCCCTCCAGCCCGACAATAACCCCCTCCCCCTCCAATAACCCCCCTTCTCCCTCGACAATAACTCCCCTCCCCTCGACAATAACCCCCCTCCCCCTCGACAATAACCCCCCTCCCCTCGACAATAACCCCCCTCCCCCTCGACTAACCCCCCTCCCCCTCGACAATAACCCCCCTCCCCCTCGACAATAACCCTCCTCCCCCTCGACAATAACCCCCCTCCCCCTCGACAATAACCCCCTTCCCCTCGACAATAACCCCCCTCCCCCTCGACAATAACCCCCCTCCCCCTCGACAATAACCCTCCTCCGTCTTGGCCTTAACCCTTCTCCCCCTTGGCATTGACTCCCCCCCCCTCCCCCCCTCCTCTAGCAATACCCTAGAGTCCTGTAGCTCAGTGGTTAGAGCACTCGCTTTGCAAGTGAGAGACCTGAGTTCAATTCCAGGCAGAGGGCGAAACCTTGGGCAAGTTTCCTTACTCCACACAGAGCCTAATAATAATCCCTCCAAAACCAAAAACAATAATAAATTGGTCATTTTCAATCTACCACTGTTTGTGGGACATTGCTGTGCGCAATTGGCTGCCGCGTTCGCCCACAAATATACAGTCAATTCACTTTACAGTGTGTTCTGTGAAGCGCTTTGGGACGTCCTCCTGACGTGAAAAGCGCTATATCAAATGCAAGGATTATTATTATTATTATTATACCCCTCCCCCCGGCAATACCCCTCTTGCCCAGTGTTTTAAAGCAGGAATGCCGGGTTGAATGAATGAACTGACTCAAAGCTGCAGAAGTGCTTCTTGTATTATGATAGATATTTGTTTGTGCTTCACTTCCATTACCACTGCTCCAGGAGACCATATGTCTCTGGCTGATATCCTTGACTTTTAACAACCTACTTTATTGCATTTTTTTTTCCTGTTTGAATTGAGGCAGTTAGTTCATGCATCAGCAAAAGAAACAAAAAATACCCTCCAGATATATTTATTTGGTTTGAGGCTGCTTTGTGTGCTGATGATGGAGGAGATCATAGAATTACAGTGTACAGCACTGAAACAGGCTATTTGGCCCAACTATTCCATGTTTGCGTTTATACTCCCCACGAGAGTCCACCCATTCCAATCCCATCTCCGGATCCCTTTATTCCATTCTCTCATGTATACATCATCACTCTTGAAAAGAGAAGGATGTTCACTCCAGTGTCCTGGCCATCAATCCTCCAGGTACAATTGGAGGATTGATGGTTAATAACTTAATTGAAATAACTTAATGGTTATTTGTGGGACATTGCTGTGTGCAAATTGGCGACCTTGTTCACCTACAAAATACAAAATTACTGCACTCTACGATAAATTGCATGAAGCGCTTTAAGACATTTTGACAATGTGATAAGGTGCCATATCAAACAAAATAATTATCATAATTATATGAAGCACAAGTCATGAGGGAAAACATTCCTGGGAACTTTCAGGCTATTTATTTTGAGATAGTTATCATTTCTTCCTTTGGAAGGGGAAGAGGGTGTACAAATATGAAATGAAATTTTGAATTGTCTACCCACAATGATACATATAATAACCTTGTTTGATGGCTTGTGTAGGAAGAGATTGAATGATCTGCTCTCCCAACATCCTGTTCATTGATCTAAACTTCTCAACTAGAGGTCTGCTATACCAGACTTCCCTCCTGAACGTAAAAGTCCTGATCTCTGTGGAATAATGTCATAGAATTACAGGCCTCTCATGCTGCCTTTTCTCCGAGGAGATTGATTAGTTAATGAGAATAAACTGGCCAATTTTTCAGCATTAAACCAGTTGGAGCAACAGCTTTTGCATTGATTCAACTTGAGGAGGTGGTCTCAGTTTTGAATTAGCTGGTGTATAAATGCAGCTGATGTGAAACAAACTCTTTTATGCTTTAAAAATTTGACGGCAATCCACCAGATTTACATTTCTAAAGAATTTAATCAGCATTTATTCTGGACAGCGGTTAACAAAGCTGTGTGAATGGACAGAGCTCCACTCTTCTAAGAAAAAAGAAAATGAGTCTAAAATGCAGGTTGAGCTAACAGCCCATGGGCTAACCATGTCCAAATGAATACATTTCATTTGCAGTAACCAATAAAAAGATCCCAGGATCATTTGAAATCCTTTGATTGGTGATTTATTATGTAATTAGGTAATGCCAGTACAGTATATGTTTGAACATGGTTTGCTCCTGGACTGTTAGTCTAACCACCCTAATGGTTAGAGACTACTGATGCAGAGTTGACAGTGGAAAGTGCATTGCCATATTTTGCTACTTCTTAGCAGGGACATGAATCTCTCCCACTATAATAATTGTCTCTTTTGAGTTGCCTCATCTCTCCCACTTATGGGCATTAAAGAGTTATTTAATGTTAGAGGTGCATTTACCATCATTGCCAATTTGAAAACATACACAGAGAAATCTAATTTTGAAGTGAAATGACATTTTTGATAACTCACTGGAAGAGCCAAGGGCGGGCAGAGCAGTTTGAAAGCTGCCCGGTACTGCGTCTTTTTTAGCCTGACATCTTACAAAGCAACATGTGGTACAGTCACAGATGCAGTGGGATCTTACTTGAATTGATCAGGAGAAGTGTGGTGAGACTTTTTTTTAGCAATGACGTGGACAAAGAATTAAATGACGTGAACCCTAAGATAAATTAAAATAGTACCTAGAAGGACGATTCTAAATAATAATGAAAAGCCATAACACTTATTTTGCACTGCAGTGTTTTTTTTAAGAAAAAGGGCTGGAAGTTTGACTAACAAATTTAGTAGGTCTCACATGAGCACAGGACATATTAATCCTGATACATAGTCACAATGGGGTATTTTCACATTTGTTGCAATATCATTCAATTCATCAGTTTTAAATTTAGTGACACATGTCACCTTCTCCTGGACTTGTGAGTCTTGTATTGACTTGCTACAATGTAAGTTATGCTTATGGAGCTATGGAAAGCCTCTCAAATGTGGTTTCATAATAATCAACAGAAACGATCAAATGCTTGTTCGTGACAACACTCGTAGCTCCAGGTCTCATATGGTAAGAACAGTAACTAGTTCAGTGTCCTGGGTAATGTATACATCGGTATCTGCTAATACTTACACACTCGTGTCCCTTCCCTCTGCTCCTTAATGAAAGAGAACGTAAGAGCTGTGCCCAACAGTCCCTTTGGTTTCCAAAGAGAAATATTTCATTATTTCATTGAAATTTACCTGGAGTCAGTTTTTGTGTTTTTTCTCTGCACATCTTTTTTTTGGAGTGGCTAACAGAATTGGTTACCTTCCCTCCAACTCCTAAAGGCTGATTGATAGAAATTTGAATATACTATATATATATATTATTCCCTCTACTACTGTTATTGTTTGTAGTGGTAAAAGCCCAAATTGTTAAAGAAGGTTTTATTTTTGAATTTGCAGTTAATCTCCAGTGATATAGTACAAACCTTGAATTTGTTTTTATTAATTGCTTACCCAGCTGCAAACATTTTTCATGTTGATTGTTGCTTCCGTTTTACCAGAATTAAATATTTTAGCCAGCTGTTGCGCTCTTGAAGTTCTCAATAGTGATGCTCCAATAAACTAATCCACAAAATAGGTTTTCATTTGTGCTTTTGCAGGCGGGATGCAGCCTGTTTTTTTTTAAGAAGCATTTTACTCTTAATGCAGTATAAAATAACTAAAGTGACAAAAATGAAAATAGGAATCAGTAATTTTATCAATTACTTTTGTGGCAATCATGGATGAGAAAAGGGCCTTTGGTCCACAGATTTTCATCTCTCCATTTCTCTAACATATGCAAATTACATCTATTAATCAGCTTCATTTTTAAACATCCCCCATGTATTTATCACTTTTTGAGACTATCTTTGTACTACATGTCTCTTTTTTTACTGTTTAAAATCTATCTCCTGTTCATTCTTTCTTGGCTCAATTTGAAGTAATCTGGTTTAATCCTATCAGTAATTTTAA